TTCCTTGAAGAGATTGTTGTTACAAGTTTTTTCTACTGGTTGTGAATCTTACCTGGATATAGATGCGCCAGGTCTTGAGTACCTTAATATCTTCTATATGGATAGCTCCTTTCATTTTAAGGTTACTAATTTACAGCATATGATGCATGCAAATCTTAATACGGAAGCAATGGACAAAGCATCTGTCAACAGTTTTCACAAGCTTATCCGAGCTCTGTCCGGAACAAAATCTCTAAAATTGGGTTCTTTATCAACAGAGGTCAAGTTTTATTATCACTATTCTTCTTATTCTTTTTTTATGAATATTATATATTATATAACTTCTTGCTGTCTTGCAGATCCTACTTTGTCCCCCTATTTTAGATTTACCGAATTTTCGCCACTTACGTAGTCTAGAGATCACTTTTCCATGTTTCAAATCGAGTTTTCTGATAAACTTGCTTCAGAAATGTCATGTACTTCAAGTTCTTACAATTCATAACTCGAGGGTTTGTTGAGCTTTCAAGTTTAAAGTTTTGACCTATATTAAATATAATCTTCGCTTCCATTTATTAGTGTTTGTTCTTCCTTTTTGCCGCCAGAATCCGAAACCATTACGTTTACAAAGTTGGGCGCAGCCAACAACGGTTCCTAATTGTCTTCGATCACACCTGACCTCTGTTCAGTTTGAAGGATATCAAGGACTTGAAGATGAGCTAGAATTTGCTGATTATGTTTTACGATATGGATTTGTTTTGAAGGCAATGAACATTTATACCGACAGATTGTTGGACTTTGGGGAAAAGTGGCATAATATTCATAGAAAATCATTATATGATATACCACGGGGCTCTGGCGTGTGCCAACTTAATTTTTCATGTGGTGAATGCATTATTTGTTGTAGACAGCATTCCACGACTCCTGAAGATGGATAAACCAACCTCAAAGCCGCAGAAAGCAGAAGAAAATGTTGTCGTCAGGACAGGATCAGTGATCTGCCTGATGCAGTCTTGTGCCACATCCTATCATTCCTTCCAACTAAAGACTGCGTGACTACGAGCACTTTGTCTCGTAGGTGGCGCCATACCTGGAAGGATCTTCAAGTCCTTGACTTTTGCCACAAATATTCATGGGAGGGATTCGAGCATTTTACTGTTTTCGTAAATAGGGTTCTAGCTATCCGAAAGGGTTATGATATTCGAGGGTTTCGACTCTTGTGTCTTTTCTTTACAGACTCCGACTCAGTGGCTAAGTGGGTCCAAACCGCCATTGGGCCTAACCTGGAGGAACTGCAGCTTGAACTGCATCATGGATTGGGTTTTGTGGTGCCTCACACCCTCTTCACTTGCAGCAGGCTCGTGTCACTGACTTTGTCCTACGGAATCCGCATAGAAAAGCCTCCAGCCGTTTGTTTGCCATCCCTAAAATTTTGTAACGTGGATTTTTAGAATAATTCGATTTATATTTCAGCATAACAATTTATTGAAACTGTTAACTACAAATTCCGTAATTAATTTGAAGAATCCTTTTGAATTATTCGATTTATATTGTAGCTAAGATTTGAGGCGCAAGCAGGAGTATGCTGCATATATTTATCCTATGAATTTGATTTCCTTTATGGAGCATTATTGTTTCAAAGTAGTCTCGGGATTTTGATCAGATTTAATTTGATTTTGAGGTTGCTCTCCCTGTTGCTCTGTTTCAGGCTTCGATCGAGAGTGATAGACGTACTATGTGGTTGTTTTGTATTGAGTTCGTTAACTCCTTTTCCTCATTAAAATAAACTCAAGGGTGGGTTAATTACCAATGTAGATTGATATATAAGTATATAACAATGATAATAATCTTGAATGAATTAGATTATATAAGTCGTTTGTGTTTTTAAATGAATTTTACTGATATTTTGATAAGCACGACAATTGGATCGGGCAATCCTGGATCCCAACACAAATAGTTATGCATTAAGACTTCTGGATATAGATGCTTGTCTAGGATGTTTGTATCAATGTTATTAAACCTAATGAGTTATTAGTTTAACCGGTCAAATTGAATATATATAATATGGGTTTTCGTTTTATCCTTTAACATAACATAACAAACTTTCCTACTCTCACAATATTTTGTGGGGTCCACACTTTTTAAAACAAAAAAATAAATAAAAAATTAAGGCACGCAAAAGGAATCTCTATAACATTACACAATCACTTTTCCTACAACATAACTCTTATAAAACCCATATAATATTTATATATTATAATTAATACTTTATTAATACAAGCAAGCATTGGCATGGTGGCAGTTGTAAGGTGAAACTTGTAAATTGTAATTAGCAGTTGAACCCGATTTTCAATTTTAGTATTAAAATAAATATAATTACATATTTCTTATGCTTTATAACTAAGATTTGAATTATATTTAGACTATTTTTTTAATTGAGTTAGATATTATAATTTTAATTAGTTTTTTTTGTTTTGTTGATTTTATTATATTAATTTTAGTATTAAAATAACATTTTTATTTCACTCGTTTGTCCAAAAAAAAAAGCATTCCATTCAACTAAAAGTTGGGTAATATATGTGGATAATTACAGGCATAATAATATTCACATATCATAGTGGTGGTGGTGTCTAATGGTGACGAGTCAATAGTTGTAACTTACTAGTGGTTGTGGTTGGTGTAGAGGTGGCAAGTGAAGGTGGCTAGTGGTTACGACATCGAAGGTGATTGCTGGTAATTGCAGGGGCTAATTGAAAGCGACAATGTTTTGTGCCCAATGGTCGGGGTGATGGTAACCAGTGACTATGGTTGTGACTAGTAGCTCATAATAAAGGCATGTGATTGTATGATAGCTGATGGCGGTGATAATAGGTTATAAAGCTAATGGACTATGAAGATTATGGTTGGTTGGTGGCAAGGGACACTTACAGACCCATCAAAGTTCTTAAAAACAAATCATGTAACTATATTTGAAATGAGAATGAAGTGAATTTCCTATTCTATCCTTTTATTCTTAGGGGTGGTCAAGATAAAGAGGACAATATATGATAGGCTATTATATCTTACTCTTATCCGTTGTTTGGGCAACCACTAGGATATGATAAGCTTATCCCCTTAGCTTATTTTATCCTGTCCACAACAGAATAAGCTATCATAAGGAATGACTCAAGTTAGGAATGAACATAATAAGATAACAAATATCATATCCATTACATTCCAAATGTAGCCCTATATTTTTCTCTTTAGAACTTTGCTGGGAGTATAAGAGTAAGCCATTACCACCAATCGACCGGATAAATCTTTGGTACTACTGTTGTACCTAAGTGGGTACAACATTTTGCCATTTTTGGAAAAAAAGTGCAATGTGGCGGAATTTTTTTTTTGAAAAGTGTTGAATTTTTTTTCCAAAAGTAGAAAAATATTGTACCCACTTGGGTACAACAATGGTACCAAAAATTTATCCCAATCGATCATTGGTCACCTCTGCCACCATTACCACCCATCTTCCAGCCACCACCATTGTCACCGACTATTGCTATGAGCTATAAATCACCAACATTTTCACAGGCTACCACCATTATCCCCAACCATCACCACCGATCAGCCCTACAATTGCCACCACCATCACTTTCACCTGTCACCATCACCACCACCATTGTCTTTGCCATTGGTCACAACCGCCATTAACCACCAGATATTAGGCACCAACCATCATCACCATCCCCACCACTGTCATTAATCAGCCACAATAATTGCCATTGGTCATCACCGACGCTGCAACCACCACCATCATTTCCACTAACCACCCCCACCTGCCACCACTATCACCAGCCAGGCACCACCTCCGACTACAGCCACCCCCGACCATTAGGCACCAACCATCACCACCACCACTTGCCACTATCGCCGCTGCCATTGGTTAGCCACCACAATTATCATTGGTTATTGTTGATGTTGTCACCATCACCCATTGCCACCACCCAATAAACTGCCAGCAACACCACCCATTGTTACTAGCCACTAACCATTAATATTGATAATTAATTTAAAACTTAATTCTTAAAAATTTATCTAGTGAGGGTATAATTATTTTATTTTTAAAATTTGTATAAATAAATAATTATAATTTTTTTGTAAATTATTTATATTTTAATATATTTAATTTAAATTCATGACTTCTAATTTTTTTTAATAAATTAAAATAAGAATTAATGCATAAATAAATAAAAAACCATTTTTTAACAATCATATATAAAAGTTATCTGGATATTAAAAGCAATAAACACTTTTATGTATAAATTACTGGAATGTGATGGTCGTGGTGATAGTGGGATGAAGTGATTAGAGTGAGGTTGAGAAAAAAATGTTTAATTCTAACTTCTTCTTTTTCTAAAAACAAAATATCCTGATTTTTAAAATATATTATTTTAAATTTTTTAAAAAAAATTCTATTTTTTCTAAAAGTTGATATCCAAATACATAAAATTTCCCCCAAAAGGTTTTTAATTTTATTTTTGAATTCTCTTTTTTCTGAAGATTGATATCCAAATACATAAAATTTCCCCAAATACACAACAATAAATGACATACACCTCATTTTTTTCTTTGCATCGACACCATGCGACATGCAATGAACAATCACATACCTTGGAAATTTTTTAATATATTTCAGAATCACCGTGATCTTTTCACTCAAAAATTGATACTTGAATTAATTTTTGTTCTCTTTTTTGTCTCCTCTCTTTTCAAATTTTTTTTCTCTTTCTCTCACCTCAGTCTCACCTAATTCTTTCAACATAACATGCGAATTTGAAATGTCTGACGCAATTAAATAATATTTTCATAATAAAATTATTTTTTAAAATTAAAATATATTAATGAAATTGTATTTTTCAGAAAATAAAAAAACATTTTAGAAAAACAAATCCAAAAACGTTCTGACCCATGGACCCAGATTTTTTGACCCGAAATCCATCAAATAAATGGGATTTTTCAATGCTTAAAACCCTAAATACCTGGAGGAAGCCACCACTGTTCCGGCTCAGTGAGAGACAACTCCAAAAACGGTGTCACTCTTCTCTTCCTCGATGTTTCTCAGTACTCCCTAGTCGCCATCGATACTCAGGTCAACAATTTTCCTTTTACTTTTCTTTTTTTTTTTGAAAAAAAATGGAAAAACATCGACTTAAAATTTCGACCTTATAGAATAATAAAAAATCCCTTTTAAGTTTTAAGTGTAGAGGTTATGTCCATGCCCTTTTATTATTCTTGTGGATTATCAAGTTGTTGTTGTTGTTTTTTTAATTTTTACTATCTTGGTATCTGAAAATTGAGTGAAACTCTGAATTTCGTAGGGTAAACAAATTCTATTTTTGTTGATACTGTCAAGTTCGTTTGATATTATTTTTCTTGTGTATATGTGTGTATATTTCTCTGTGAGACATGTTCCCATGTGAGCTCTGGGAACCAACTTTCCATGCTAGATCTGATCCTCAACAGTGCAAGCACTTCATCGTTAGTCCATGAATCTATTAACTCTGGTAATTGTCTTTGATCTCTTTCAATCTCCGTGTTGATTGAAGAGATCGTGCAGTTTGGTTCATTCTCTTTGTGTTTGTCGGTAGGAGAATGGGGTTGCAATGGTTGCGAGAGATTGGGTTGGAGTGGCAATTGATGAAAAGGGTTATAAGGATCAAAGGGTGGGAAGTTATTTGGGGTTGGAGAGGCATGGAGTTGGGTGGATAAGTGAAGAGGAAGAGTGGTCCTTGGTGATATGAATTGGTGGAACTGCTCTGGTGTTTAATCGAACATGTTGCTTAGCCGATTAAATGAGGCAGGGTAGAGATTAAATGGGACAATCTCTATGAGCTAAAAGGTTGCTTAGCCGACCAGTGTTCATTACACCAATTGAAATGTTGGGCGCATATTGGCAATGGTTGTTTCTTGTCCCTGCATTTATCCTTATAAGTTCACAAGATTGTATCATATATATGCTATGGTGTCTGTGATCTCTCACAAACAAATATTATATATCTTCATACTCTTGTCTTATGCTGGGATGCGTGCAATTTTTAAATTAATATTCACCAAACCATATTCTTTACTTTAAAATCAAAATTCAATTTCTCTTCTGATGTCAACTCTGCTATATGCTTCCAATGAAGTACAAAACCACAAGCATTTAATCACAATAACAATAAAAGTATATAGTATTAGCTAGTCTGCTATTATTTCACATGCTACGCTTGGTTGGTGTAAAACTTTTAATTCCAATGGTTGTGGTTCAAAGACAGGTATAAGGTTAATTTGGGTGAAGTTGATTGAGTACTGTTCAAGGTACAGAATGTTTTTATCACCAAACTAAATTTGCTTGGGAGTTCTGTTCTAAAGGACAAAAGCCATAATTGTAGTAAGGGAGACCCATGTGAAAAGAAAACTCTTGCATTGGTCCAGATTATCAATAAGTAGTGCTTTTGGATTTCCAACTACTGTATTTAGGAAGTGGACCAATAGGTGCAGTTAACATGCTTAAACCAGTAGGAGAATGGTGAGGGATGTGGGGTCACAATGAGGACCAGTTCCTATAGTTAAATCAGTTTTTTTGCATAGTGGGTAGTAATTTAGTCTCATTACAGAGTCATTTCCTTGGTATAGGTTGTTGCTTGAGATTGGAAAATTACAAAAAGTTTAATAAAAATCAAGTATGGGCTTTTTTGTTTAACAAAAAAAAGACACATTAAATTTTTGAAGGCCCACGAGCTGGCCCCAATTCATAGGGCTTTTGGCCCATGTGGCCCAATATCATCGTGGGCTTTTTGGCCCCGCGAACTTTTTGGCCCTAACCCACATGGGCTAGGGTTAAATGGGCCGGGCTGGCCCATTTTGACAGCTCCACGGGCATCGGGCTTGGCTGCGCTCCACCGTCTTCTCCGACTCCGGTCTGTGTGCGGGTGTGCGTTCTCCACGTGCTCTGTCTGCAGCTTCGTCTTCGTTCTCCGTTCCCAGGATTCATCGTTGTGCCTTCGCCGTCGCAGGGTGGTGTTCTTTCTCAATCTCTTATGAGCTGCGTGACTGCCTCTGTTTCGCTTCGTTTATGTATCTGTTTACCAAAGCAGGCTTTGTCGATATTTTTTTTGTTTTCTCTCGTTTTACTTTCAGCTTCTGCCTCTGTTATTTATTACTTAACCAAATTTTTTTTATTTGATAAACAAAATTAGTTTTATTTTTTTCTTTTCTTGTTTTTGCCTCTGTTTCCTTATCATTTTTTTTTATTATATCCTTTTTAATTTACTTGAAAAATCAAATTAGTCCACATTGAAAAATCAAATTAGTCTAGATTGAAAAATCAAATTAGTCATGCTTTCTCAATATTGCTTGCTGCTGGACCAATTAAATTGTGGTTAATTTTTTATTTTTTTGTGAATTTGAATGTTGTATTTTTTTAGAAAATGTCTTCAAGTGGTATTAATAGTAGTATAGTACTCCTTGATTATGACTATTGTATGACATTATTTTGCTAGTTGGTTGAATTGAATTTGCTTATTATATTACTTTATATGCATATAAATATATATAAATATAATATGTATTTCGTGTTACGATTTTACGATTCTGGGATTTACGATTTTGGTTCACCCTTCCGAGTTTGCGTAGACTCTCGAGTTTGACAACCTTCGTTTCAACGTGTCAAAACCCATATTTTTTTAAGATTGACGAGTTGGAGTGTTGTAAAGTGTCAAATGTTGCGTGTTGGTGCTACATAGGTTTTTTAATGGTTAGTTATATGTCATTGTCAGGTATTTTTTCAAACAAGATATCCATTATTAGTTTTTACTTATTTGATTGTTTAATATTTTGTGCAGGCATGTGCTGTTATAGCCATTCGTTTATTGGTTGCAAATTGGGGCTTAGACAGAGTGGCATCTATCGTGGAAGAGATTGTAATGGCATTGCTTTCACTTTTAAGGTATATCACGTGTAAATTTGGGTATCAACTTAGCATTTGCGGCTTGTGTAATTATTTCATACAACTTTATGATCTATATGATTATTTCTACATGTTTACACATCATGCACCTGTGATCTCACCCCTTATTTTTCTATTCTTTCTCACTGTTTTTGTTATAACAATAAGCTGAATGGTTTATGTGAACTTTCAGTCTGAAAAGCAGAAGTTACAGGAAGAAGTTGTTGAAACTCTGACAAAAATTATAGATTCGATACCACTGGTATATCTTAATATCTTAAGTCCATGTATTATATAGGTTTTGATTGCGGTACATTATTACCCCAAGCCCCATGCGAATTGATGTGAAATTGTTCCATGCAGGCCAATTTTGGCAATTATTGCGATACTGCAATTCCCCCACTACAAGAGATTCTGTTTCATGACTATAGTTCATCTAGATTGTTACTCCGTGCCAAATGTCTAGAATGCATAAGGATTGTCTTCAAAGCTGAGCAAGAGCACCGGAGTCTCATACAAGTGAATGTTCATGGGGTGAGTATTTCTGCTAATTCCTAATGTTTGGTTGTTCCAAGTACAACCCTTATTTAATTTTATTGATTACTTCAGCCTAACAGATATTGGTTCTCAAACTCTTTTGATCTATTTCCCCCTCCCCTCCCTTTCCATTCCTTCCTCTTCCCTTCCCCTGTCCTTATATATAGCTGAAAAAATGTATCAGACTAATACTTGCTTCTTGTTTCCTAAGGGAGGCAACACATGTCTGTTACTTGAAAATCGGTTGTTTTCATATTTGGTGTCGTTGCTTAATTACAAGGAAAATTTTGTACTCTTTGTGGATCTGGAAAGCAACAGAAAAAGATGTTACTTCTATCTACCAGTTTGATTTGAAGTGCAGCATAATTTGACTCGAAACAAAGAATTGTTAGTAGTAGATTTTGGTTGCATTTGACAATTTTAAAATTGGATCATAAACATGGAATTTATCACTGTGTAATATTATAAATATTTGTGGGATCACAGTTTCTAAAATGATCACTTCAAAAAATTGATCATATGAATGATTATGGTTGAAATAGCTAAGAAGATTTTCCTTTTCTCCTTTAACTAAGAACCTTCATTATTTAGGACCATTGTTGTTGGCTGAATTAAAGCCCAAGATGTACATTTGAATTTTTTTAAGAAATAATTTTTAGTGTCTCCCAACCTTATGGATAATGTTGGTTCAGGTCATATAGAAAATAATACTGAAATCAAAGTGAGTTAAAATTATGATTTGGAAGTATAGGGAAATTAGAAAGGGAAAAAAATAAAAGGTTCACTTGTTCTGGGCCATTCACAAACTTTTGCAATTGATCAAGCAAAATCTATCTCTACCTCATGATCTTGATACACATAATTCAGAATCTGAGTTAAATTTGTGTATAGATTGTTAGGAAAGGATGTCAAATAATTATGAAATTATTTCTTTCCATACTAATTTTTCTTGTAACACTATGAAGGTCATGCATTCTTTCACATCACTTGAAGGAGAATTGAGGAGGACGGATTACTTAACAAGAGATCATATCTTTAAGGTATATTTATGCGTGATTGAAATCAATGATAGACCATTTATGTGGTATCCCCTGCCTCCCTCCTATTGTAGTTTAATGTTTGCATTCCTTCATTAAGTAAACACACTATGCAGGCATTGTATCAAATTTATCAAGTAAACACACAAAGTTATAAAGTTATCTCATTCTAATAGATAAAGACACAAAATAATATTTTTTTATTTAAAATTTAAATTAAAAAATATCTATTTTCTTTTCAATATTTTCATTCATTGTGTCTATCTCTTTCTTAAAATGAAAATGAAGACATATCTTATGTAATTTAAATTGATAAACAACAAACCCCAAATAAATATAGAAAAAAATGTTTCTGCAGTTAATGTAGATGAGTTATCTGCATTTATCCCAAAACGACGTTGTTTTGGTATTGAAATCTTAAAAAATTATAAATATAAAGACTATTATAATCCTGAAATAAATTAAAATTACATAAATACCATGATTTCTGTCCAAAACGACGTCGTATTGGCTTATTGCAGATAACTGCAAACAAAGCGAACCCATAAATAAAACAAATAGTCGAAGGCTTTTTGACCCTTTTACCCTTCATTAATTAATAAATAACCATTTTGTCCCTTATTCAAAATTATCTACCAATATGTCCCTTTTTAATCGATTAACTTAAAAATTTATCAATTAAATGGTCAAAATTGGATAAAATGGTTGACTTGAAGATTTAATCGATTAAATCTCCCAATAGGCAACAAAGGTCAAATCTCCTCCATAAAAAAAAGCAGATTCCATGCATATGAAGCAAATCAACAAGCATAGATAACCAAACAAACAAAGAAACTAACAAAAGAAAAATGATTATTGGAAACTGGATTGATTTACATGAACTGATTTTGTTACTTTCTAATGTATTGGTTGATGGTTAAAATCTATCTGTAGTAGTTACGATTCTTGCAAACACTGTTAATGGTTTGATTTAGGAATAGCACGAAAAGAAAAACGATTCTTGGAAACTGGATTGATTTACATGAACAGGCCTGCATCCATTTCTACCTCTCACATGAAAACCTTGCTTATTACATGAAAAACGACGCGAAGTGATCCTATTGTCAACCTCGAAACGATAACAGCGATCAAGGCGAACAACGAACCCTTCCCGTCTTGCATATTCATCATAAAAATACTTAGCAGAATCTTCAATAGTTTTCCGTGTATTTGAGGTTATTTGAATCTTGAATTTAATATAATAGGAGCTGATTGCGATTTGTATTTAATAGGAGCTGATTGCGTTTTGTATTTAATAAGATGCAATCAGCTCCTATTAAATACAAATCGCAATCAACTCCTATTACATTAAATTTAAAATTCAAAATTCAAATAATCTCCAATACCGTGTTCGTCTCATTTAATCAATGCTTTCACGCTCATTTGAGATATTTAATCGATTAAATATAAGTTTTAAACGATTAAATCAATTAAGAGGGATATTTAATCGATTAAATCTTCAAGTCAACCATTTTTTGTCAATTTTGACCACTTCAAGTTAATCGATTAAAGAGGGACAGATTGATAAATAGTTTTAAATGAGAGACAAAATGATTATTAATTAATTAACGAAGGAAAAAAGGTAAAAAAAAAAAATAATAACGACCAATAGTCGAATACTAAAGAAACCTAAAAATTTGCACTTTTTTGTATTTATATTAATGCATTATTCGTGTAGATAGCATTCCGGTATTCCATCAATCCTGAAGATGGATAAACCAACCTCAAAGCGGCAGAAAACAGAAGAAAATGCTATCGGCATGGACAGGATCAAGCGGCAGAAAACAGAAGAAAACCCTGACGGCAGAAAACAGAAGAAAACAGGATCAAGCGGCAGAAAACAGAAGAAAATATTGTCGGCAGGGACATGATCAAGCGGTAGAAAACAGAAGAAAATGCTGTCGGCAGGGATAGGATCAAGCGGCAGAAAACAGAAGAAAACAGGATCAAGGGGCAGAAAACAGAAGAAAATGCTGTCGGTAGGGACACGATCAAGCGGCAGAAAACAGAAGAAAACCCTGACGGCAGGGACAGGATCAGTGATATGCCTGATGCAGTCTTGTGCCACATCCTATCATTCCTTCCAACTAAAGACTGCGTGACTACGAGCACTTTGTCTCGTAGGTGGCGCCATATCTGGAAGGATCTTCAAGTCCTTGACTTTTGCCAAAACTCTTGCCAGGGATTCGAGCATTTAGCTGTTTTAGTAAATAGGGTTCTAGCTCTGCGAAAGGGTTATGATATTCGAGGGTTTCGACTCTCGTGTCTTTACTCTGACAGAGACTCCAGCTCAGTGGCTAAGTGGGTCCAAATCGCCATTGGGCCTAACCTGGAGGAACTGCGGCTTGAACTGCATTCCAACGCTGGATTTCGTTCAATGCCTCACACCCTCTTCACTTGCAGCAAGCTCGTGTCACTGTCTTTGTCCTACGGAATCCACATAGAAAAGCCTGCAGCAGTTTGTTTGCCATCCCTAAAGATGCTTAATCTATGTCATATAAATGTGGATTTTTATGAAACCCTCCTCTCTGGGTGCCCTGCCCTCGAACCCTGACTTTGTCTATTTGTGCCAAATGCTTGACCAAAGTCCGCGTCCCTCCTTCCTTGAAGAGGTTGGAGTTCCAAGTTTTTTCTTCTCAATGGGAATCTTACCTGGATATAGATGTGCCAGGTCTTGAGTACCTTTCAATCGTCCATGCGACTAGCTCCTTTCATTGTAAGTTTACCAATTTACAGCATGTGGTGGATGCATTTCTTGATGTGGGAGGAGTGGAGAAAGCATCTGTCAACACTTTTCACAAGCTTATCCGAGCTCTGTGTGGAACAAAATCTCTAAAATTGGGTTATTTCTCAACAAAGGTCAAGTTTTATTATCACTATTTTTCTTCTTGTTCTTCTTCTTCTTCTTTTTGATGAATTCTGTACTGATATTATATATGATATAACTTCTTGTTGTCTTGCAGATGCTACTTTGTCCCTATTTTAGATTTTCCGAATTTTCGCCATTTACTTCGTCTGGAGATCATTTTTCCATGTTTCAACTCAAGTTTTCTGAGAAATGTCACGTACTTCAAGTTCTTACAATTAGTAACTGGGAGGTTTGTTGAGCTTTCAAGTTTAAAGATTTGACCTATATTAAATATATTCTTTGCTTCCATTTACGAGTGTTGTTTTTCCTTTTTACCGCCAGGAGCAGAAACCATTACATTTACAAAGTTGGGCGCAGCCAACAAGGGTTCCTAATTGTCTTCGATCACACCTGACCTCTTTTGAGTTTGACGGCTATCGAGGACTTGAAGATGAGCTGGAATTTGCCAAATATATTTTACGATATGGATTTGTTTTGAAGGCAATGAACATCAGTTCCCACAGATCGTTGGACTTAAGCGAAAAGAGGGATATTCACAGACACTCATTATATGATATACGACCGGGCTCTAGCGTGTGCCGATTTTATTTTTTTTGAGCTGAATCTCATTAAGGTATGAACTCTCAACATCTTCTGCGTGGCTTACTGTTAGTGATATAGTTCACTTAGCTTTGCTGATGTTACTGTACTTCTGTATGTGTTAGATCGCTACTGTTCTTTTCTGTTTTCTAGTCTGTTAGTTAGTTAGTCTGTTTCTGACTTTATCTTGCTCTATAAATGGTTATCTCTCAGATCTCCTCTCTCTCTCTCCTTACCAAACTCTGATTCTTAATGAATCAAGATCACTAGAATTTGGTTTATTTTGCACAAATAGATGTGATGTACCTTTATTCTTATATGTATATCACCACGTTTCATGTGGAATTACATAATTCCATGCCCCCAAAGTTCCTAAATTTTCTTTGAATAAGTTATGATGTGACAATGCCTCCAAAAAAAATATTGTAGTTTTTGCTTCTGCAACGTTTTTCTCTTATATTTTTAGGTTAGTTTTATTTTATTTTTTTATTGCTAGCATTATCATTATTTTTTTCTCTTTCCTTTTCCGGAATCTTTTATTTTATTTATTATTTTTTTTTTTTTTTTTGGGTTCATTGACCGTCCATCCCAACTAGTTTGTTATATAATGCCAAATGACCTGATTTTTTAAAAGCTGATTTTGTCTTATGGATTGAATTTAGGTAAACTACTAATGGTAAATTTATGTAGCCCAATACACCAGCGGAGATTAGGAATTTGTAATTTCTGGTTATTTTTTTTTTATTTTTTTTGGTAGACGTAATTTCTGGTTATTTAGTCTTACTTGTTATGATAAATTAAATTTAATTGGTTTTGACGAACATTTTTCACTATATGTTTTGCAGTGCTTCTCACTTTTATTGGAAAGGTTTGGAGACCGTGGTCCTTAGTGCGCCTTGTGTTGCCATGTTTTGCCAGATGCTTTCGGCTTCACTAAAGTATTTTATAGACATTTAACCAGGACATGGTACACAAAGTTCAAAATTATAGCCAACATTGTTTGCTGGCCTAGTGAAATAGTTCTTCCCCTCTTGGTTTTAAATTTATTGACTTTTTTGTGCAGAATGGGGATGGAAGTGCCGTCTTTTGGCCTTCTGTTCCCACCACTCAAATATATGCCAGGAAGAAATATCAACCTGGTTACTTAGTGTTATTTCAACATAATTATTGATTGAGGTTGCTTTTCCTGGAGAGAGATAGACGTACTATGTGCTTCTTTTGTATTGAGTTCGCTAACTCCTTTTTCTTATTAAAATGAAAAACTCAAGGGTGGGTTAATTAAAAATGTAGATTGATATATAACAATGATAATAATCTTTAATGAATTAAATTATATAAGTAGCTCGTTTTTTTAAACGAGTTTTACTGATATTTTGATAAGGATGACAATTGCACCGGACACCTGGATCCATATTCCCAGCACAAATAGTTATGCGTGAAGACTTATAATTACCAGTTGGGATGGTGGTAGTTGCAAGGTGCGACTTGTAATTAGCAGTTGAACTCGGTTTTCATTTCTACTATTAGAATAAATATAATTACATATTTCTTAAGCTTTATAATTTAAGATTTGAATTATAATTAGAATATATTTTTAATTGAGTTAGATATTATATTTTATTTATTTATTTATTTTGTTTATTTTATTATATTAATTTTAGTATTTAAATAACAGCTTTATTTCACCATTTGTCCCCCCCCCCACCAAAAAAAAACAAATCATATTCAATTCAACTAGAAGTTGGGTAATATCTGGATCTATTATACATTAGATAGAGGCCCAAATATAATAAGGCTTATCTCACCCTTGAGACATATAACCATATAACCATAATAAGGGCAATCCATTTTGCGTGACATTGCGAAAAAGACAATCCATCTCGCCACAGGAGTTATGAATCTTGCTTAGGTACTTCACCGTCAAGTTAATATAACTTAACTTGAAAGAAATCATCATTGCCAAGAACAATAGATCAGGCAAGTTGGCCACAAACATTAACCATTAAAAAGATGGCAACTCCTACTTGTCACCGTATCTACATAATCTACATTGAACAACGGCTTATCCACCAAGGAATAGCCTGAGAGAGGCCATCACACTCCACCAGTCAACATGAACATCACTTCTTGAAGGATGGTGATAAACACGGCGCTCAAGAACTGTGAATTATTAATCTGATTTAATGAACCTCCTTGGATATTAAACTGATTTGAACGTCGGAGTGCCTTTGCAGGTATCCCTCGGTGCAAAGAATAACACTGTGGTTTGATGAATGGAATGATAAGTTAAAGAAAGGGAATGAATAAACTAATCCACTATTAAACCAATTGAAATCTCGGCTCAAGATCTTACTCGATGAATTTGTTCAGATATCTATAATGTCAACTCTAATTCATCAGCTCATGGGCTAAATGGTATATGAAACCCCATATTCCTATGGCAATTTTGTTCCCAACAACGATTCGGTACAGAACTTTTGAGAACGAGTTTTTAATCTCAACATTATTTTTAAGATTTGAATTTGGATTTAAAAAAGAAAGAATTAATTTTAAATTTTAAATTCCTTTTTGAAAGATTTGATTTGAATTTGAAGATAATAAACAATTGATACATCGCTTAGGAAATAAGATAAATTTAAAAAGTAACAAAAAAAGGAAGAAAAATTTTGAGCTCACAAGATTATTTATTTTCATGTTTTTTAATGTCAAATATGAATTTTAAAATGAGCAATTATAACAAATATCTCAACCCTCTACGAACAGGCAAAAGGTAATGACTTTTTTCTATTTTATTTCAATTTGTTATTTATGTGTTAATTGAATGGCCTTTTGTATAGATAGATGGCTACGAGAGGAGGACATCATATTGATGCTGTTATGAAATATTTTCATATCTTAACCACCTACCCAAGGATCCCTTAAAGGATAATTATCCAATTATCCTAACAATATAAAACAGTAAGGCTGCTAAGAATAGAGTCCATATCCCAACAGAAAGGAAGTTGAATCCTACTACAACTGGGAGATCTACACAAGCCCAAGAGGTAACCTTTATAAATAATAGGTTAAAGACCCCAGATACACACTCTGAACTCATTTACTACTTCTTCCCACACTGTGCACACATCCACATCTCGACTATAAGCTTATTGCTTGTGCGCAGTGATGAGGATATCGGCTATAAGCCAACCAAGATACCTATCTCTAGGTTATCTCTGAGCGCATACCTTACAGTATAGCAATATAGTTCTCTAGGACCGAACATTGGCACCGTCTGTGGGAAATGGCAAATTTCGACTCCCATCCATGGTGAACACGTGCGGTATAGCACAAAGCCACATATTGCAGGCTAACTCGCGCACCCTGAAATTGCTGAAACCACATATATATAAGGAGACAAATCCTACCGCAAAAGGGTTTTTGATCCTCCGAGAGACTCTAGAATGGAGATTTAGATCCAAGCAGATGACGATTTGACAGAGATTTTCGTCGTCACAATTCAAATTTATTAGCTCGGCCTCGGCCTTGAGCTCAGCCCAATTAAGGGCTTCAAATTTAAAGCTCAGCCTCAGCCTTGAGCTCCAACTCAGCCCAATGAAGGGCTTCAAATTTATTAGTTCGACCTTGGCCTTGAGCTCCAACTCAGCCCGGGCTTCAAGATTAAAGCTCGACCTCAGCCTTGAGCTTCAACTCAGCCCAGTTAAGGGCTTCAACATCTCCTTCTAACACTCTCTTCACTTGCAGCAGGCTCGTGTCACTGATTTTGTACAACGGAATCCGCACAGAAAAGGCTCCAGCCGTTTGTTTGCCATCCCTAAAGACGCTTCGTCTAGTGGATATAAACGTGGATGTTATTGAAACCCTCCTCTCTGGGTGCCCTGCCCTCGAAACTCTGACTTTGTCTATTCATCCCACATGCTTAACCAAATTCCGCGTCCTTTCTTCCTCCTTGAAGAGTTTGGGGTTAAGTGTTCATTCTCTTCTTTGGGAATCATATCTGGATATAGATGCGCCAGGTCTTGAGTACCTTTCTATCGTCCATGTGGAAAGCTCCTTTGATTTTAAGGTTACCAATTTACAGCATATGGTGCATGCACGTCTTGATATTGAAGCAAAGGACGAAGCATCTGTCAACAGTTTTCACAAGCTTATCTGCGCTCTTTGCGGAACAAAATCTCTAAATTTGGGTTCTTGGTTAACAGAGGTCAAGTTTTATTGTCACTATTCTTCTTCTTCTTCTTTTCTATGAATTCTGTACTGATATTATATATTATATAACTTCTTTTTGTCTTGCAGACCCTACTTTGTTCCCCAATTATAGATTTACCGAATTTTCGCCACTTATTTCATCTCGAGATCACTTTTCCACGTTTCAACTCAAGTTTTCTGATAAACTTGCTTCAGAAATGTCATGTACTTCAAATTCTCAAAATTCATAACCTGGGGGTTTGTTGAGCTTTCAAGTTTAAAGTTTTGACCTATATTGAATATATTCATTAATTGCTTCCATTTATTAGTGTTGTTTTTCCTTTTTGCCGCCTGCAGCAAAAGGAACCATTATTACGTTTACAAAGTTGGGCGCAGCCAACAATGGTTCCTAATTGTCTTCGATCACACCTGACCTCTGTTCAGTTTAAAGGATATCGAGGACTTGAAGATGAGCTGGAATTTGCTGATTATATTTTACGATATAGATTTGTTTTGAAGGCAATGAATATTTATACCCGCAGATTGTTGGACTCTAGGAAAAAACTGCATATTCACAGAAAATCATTTTATGATATACCACGGGGCTCTAGCGTGTGCCAACTTAATTTTTCATGAGCTGAATTTCACTACTAAGGTATGAACTCTCAACATCTCCTTCTAAGTGGCTTACTATTAGTGATATAGTTCACTTAGTTTTAGCTTTGTTGATGTTACTGTACTTCTGTATATATTAGATCACTACTGTTCTTTTCTGTTTTCTAGTCTGTTGTTAGTTAGTCTGTTTCTGACTTATAAATAGAGCCTTTGTGTATTAGATATTGTACATCGGAATATACAGTAAATACAAAGGTTATCTCTCAGATCTCCTGTCTTATATGTATATCACCACATTTTATAACTATATTGTGGTAGAATTACATAATTCCTTGTCCCCAAAGTTTCTAAATTATCTTTGATAAAGTTATGTTCTGACAAGGCCTAATATAGGATTGGCCACCTCCAAAAAAAAAATATTATAGTTTTTGCTCTTGCAACATTTTTCTCTTATATTTTTAGTTTTGTTTTATTTTTATTTTTTATTACAACCATTATCATTATTTATTTTTTTCTTTCCTTTTCAGAAATCTTTTATTTATTTATTTATTTTTTATTTGTTTTTGGTTTCATTGACCGTCGATCGCAACTGGTTTCGGTAAGAGTGTTATTGATGTTGCGTTGCTCACCCAACCATATCGGTTTTAAGATTTCAAGGCTTGGAAAGTAGGGGTGTTCGCGGTCTGGATTGGATCGGTTTTGGAAGCAAAACTCATCCGATCCAATCCCTTCGGTTTGATCATGTAATCATCCATTCGGTTTAGATTATTTTTCAAATCCGATCCGATCCAATCTAATTTTTTTCGGTTTGGATTGGATCGGTTTTCAGTTTTTTGAATATCCTAAAATTAGTTTCATGATTATTGTGCAAATAACATCTTTCGTATATATTGGCTTTGTAAAACAATTTCTTTTGAAATACAAAAATATCATTAAACTATACTATAGTTGATGAGACGTGACTAAGTTTTTTCTTGGGTTTAGTTGATGAGTTAATGAGTCTTGAGTTTAGAAATTTTTGGGCTATGATTGGAGAAAAGACAAGTAGGTAGAGTATAATTAATATATTGGATCAGTTTGGATTGGATAGGTTTTCATCAACCCATCCGAAAACCGATCCATTCCAATTAAAATTTGCGGGTTTTTTTTTCGGTTTTCGATTTATTCGGTTATCGATTTTTCGGTTCGGTTTTCGCGGTTTGGATCGGCTGATGAACACCCCTATTGAAAAAGGAGTCGAGATTCGAAAGATTTTGTTACAACCCAAAACCCGAAGAGATAGAAGTGAAAAGAAACAAAATGAATTGTACTTAATTTAATGAGTTGATTTCTGCTTTATTTGGGCTGAAAAGAGTTCTTAAGTGCAAGTAAATGGGCCTAAGAAGAACCAATACAACTCAAGTTGGAAAGAAGAAGAAAAGAGAAGTAAATATAATGGGAAAAATGCTTATTCTTTTA